TCAGGTGAGGTGGTGGCTCAAGCTGGGCATGGGGCTGGCACGGTCCCGAGGGGTTCCTGGGGCTCTCTTCTCCTCACTGCAGTCCCCCACAGCAAAAAATCCCAGAGTAAAGCACCCTCAAAGCCATTGCTCCTGGAGGTCAGCGACCTGCTGATGCTCGAGCCATGCATGGGGACCCCGGCTGGTCAGAAGGGCTCTGCTTGTGGCTGGGGTGGGACCTGGCGGGGCTCGGCAGGAGGTGTCCCCCAGCGCACTGGGGAGCTCCCAAGGCCGGAGCTTGTCCCCAAGGAGCCACCTGTCCCTTGCAGAGAACGGAGCCCTGAGGAACGGGACAGAGGAGGTGCTGCACCTGGAGCAGTACCCCCCCAACAAGAGGCTGAAGACCAACCCCTGCAACAACAGCAAGGAGCAGCGCATGGAAGAGGACCAGACCCGAGGTAACTGGCAGCAAGACCTGGGGAGTGCCGTGGCCTGGGCCGTGCATCCTGAAAAGCACCGGGAAACCTTGCTGGGAAAGGGCTCAGCTCTTCCCGAGATCCCTGAACTTTCTTTCCGGAGGCAAAGGCTTTTGTAGTCTTGTGTTCTCGGTTGTGCCTTACAAGATGCCAGGAAACCCAACTGCAAGACATGGTGCCACAAACTGGGCTCCTTTAATTGCTCAACTTGGAAATGATGTGTGTGTTGCTACCTGGAGCTCTAGCTCTAACACCTCCAGCAGTGAGAGGACATGGATCTTGCACCAAAATTTCTAATATGCCTGTAACTTGCCTTCTCTGCAATGCCCAGCAAAGCTGTAGGGGTTTTAATGCAAGAAATAAGGCATCTCTAAGTAGAGCGCATTTAAAGTTTTTACATAAGGAATGATACATCTCCTTTTTTCTTTTTAAATTTTGTATAGAGCAAATGGTTTTTGGAGTTACGAACCACAGTGGGAGTCTCGAAGGTAATCAATTGCCCTCTCTCTCTTGGGACAAGGTGTGGGGCTGACACAGGCACTTGCAGGTGGTGCTCAGGGAAGATCGTGGGTCCCTTTTTTCAATCACACCGTGCAGAAAGGGGGGAAGCGCCGAGCCTGCAGATCCCTGAGTCTCCCTTTGCCTCAAGGGGAGCAGGCTGCTGTGCAGAACCTCCCAGTGGTGGGGTCTGTCCCCGGGGTTGATGCCTATGGCACCCTGCCCACGGCTCAGAGGAGTCCTGCCCCGGGCTGAGCAGGGTTCTCTCTGTCACACAGACAGCTGCTTGTCCTGCGGGAGGAGGAACCCAGCCACCTTCCACCCCCTCTTTGAAGGGGGTCTCTGCCAGACGTGCAGGGTAAGTGCTGTGGCGCTGGGGCTGAGCAGGAGCCCAGGGCTGGAGGAGGGGTGACTGTCCCCGATCTTGGCTGTGCTGTGTCCCCGCGGGCTGGCCCTCAGCGCATTCTCTCCACTTGAAGCACCGAGGATGCATGCCAGGGGTGAAGCAGAGCTGCATTCTCTCTTCACCCTCTGAGCACAGATCCTGAT